TCATTGTTGTTTGGCAGGTCTGGGCTGGGGATTCGAACCCGCCACCTTAGGTGTACGTGGCTGGCGCCTTAGCCAGTTGAGCTATAGGCGCCGAGCCGAAAAAACTTTTCAATTGAAAGATTCAACTAAATAATTTCCAAGATTCCTTCTGGCTCTAATATTCTGTGGTTTTTCACTGAAACTAGGAATAGAGGTCAGGCAAAAGTAAAAAATCCTGGAAAAGTTTAGGTGGCAGGGGCTATGCCTGTTTAAATTACCTTGACAGCACTCAGAACAGTACATGAGGACACGTGAAAGCTAACACTTGGGGAAATGATGCAACACCCTCCATCTGTGTGGCAGAAAGGGCACAAGTCTGGGGAAAATAGAGACCTGAAGTGAATCAGATGATCTCTAAGGGCCCTCTACAAGCAACTTGTCCATCCTTTTAGTGAATAAACATTTACCAGATGCCTACCATGTGCCAAGAACCATGTAGTTTAATAACCACTGAACCATTGCTTCAGAGTCTAGTGAGAGAAAATTTTGGTTATAGTTTTCTAGGGCTAGCGTAACAAAACAAAATACCACAGACTGGATGGTATAAACAACAGAAATTTATTTCTCACAGTTCTGGAGTCTGGAAATCTATAATCAAGATTGTTAACTAGTTTTCTTCTGAGGCCTCTCTCCTTAGCTTGCAAATGACCCTTGTCTTAGTTTGGGTAGCTATAATTAAGTAACATAGGCTGGATGGCTTATAAACAACAGAAATATATTTCTGAGAGTTCTACAGGCTGACTATCCAAAATCAGGGCACCAGCACAGCTGTTTTCTGACAAGGATCCTCTTCTAGGTTGCAGACAGGTGACTTCTCCTTGTATCTTCATATGGTGGAAAGAGAGAAGAAGAGCTCTCTAAGGTCCCTTTTATAAAAGCACTAATCCCATTCATGAGGGTTCTACCTCATGAACTAATTACCTCCCAAAGGCCCCACCTAATACTATCACATTAGGGGTCAAGATTTCAATGTATGGATTGGGGAAGGGGACATTTATTCCAAATACTATAGTTGCTTTCTTTTTCTTTTTTTTTCTTTTTTTGAGACAGAGCCTCAAGCTGTCACCCTGGGTAGAGTGCTGTGGCATCACAGCTCACAACAACCTCCAACTCCTGGGCTCAAGTGAGTCTCCTGCCTCCGCCTCCCAAGTAGCTGGGACCACAGGCGACCGCCACAACACCTGGTTATTTTGTTGTTGTTGTTGTTGCAGCCATCATTGTTTGGCGGGCCTGGTCTGGATTCAAACCCGCCACCTTAGGTGTATGTGGCTGGCGCCTTAGCCACTTGAGCCACAGGCGCCAAGCCTGTAGTTGCTTTCTTGCTGTGTCCTCACATGATTGTTTCTCTGTGCACACATATCCCTGGGGTCTTTTTATGTGTCCAACGTCCTCTTCTTGTAAGAGCAGCAGACTGGATTAGGGCACACCATAATGGCCTCATTTTAACTTAATTACCTCTTTAAATGCCCCGTCTCCAAATACAATCATGCTGAGGTACTAGAGATTAGGGCTTTTTTTTTTTTTTTTTTT